GCAACAACAATGAATGTACTACAGGTTTGACAGCACTGGGTAAATTTCAGTCATGATAAATTAAAAATTAATAGCAATAGGCACACAGGTACTCTGCATTAATTAATTAAAAGCTTAAGGAAGTAAAATACAGAAGCAAAAACTTCACAAATTATCACACTAATTGTCATGTGGTCAGTTATAAATATATGTCAATCATCCAAAAGTGTTTCACAGGTGTACAGAACTAGTTGCTCATTAAATGCTAAGCAATACTCGGTTCAACATTACCATGCTAATACTTGGTATTAGCAATAATAGCATGGCCCAATAAAAGTGGGTCTGTACAGTAAGAGTTGATTTTAAGGACGCATTTCATATTATATAGGGGACTTTCTACCTTGGACTAGGTCTCAGATTTAATCTCAAAGGCTGCAGGTTTATTAGTGGCTGGAGTGCATTAGGCACATTCCTGCAGTGCATCTTCCAGATTTTGTCCAAAAGGAATCCAGTCCAGGCCACTCCCCAGGATCATTCCACAATACAAACCAAAGCAGGGGCAAACAGAAGATTAATTTCAAAATTGCATTGCTGATCCAAATGAAAACTCTAGCATAACACGCTCATTGCGGAATGCTACTTACTAGGAAAAAACAAGTGTTTAAAACAAAGAGAAATCTAACTTCTAAGGGCCTGGAATGGAATTTGAGAAGAATTATCTGGCGTAAAATTAGCCTATGAGATGGAACAGACGTATTTCAAATTCGATGCAAGACTTTTACAGTCAACTCGATAAAACACAAGTCTATCACACCCATGTGGACATGAATCACTTTACTGGAACGGCATGAACATGAAACTGAAAGCAGAAGTGTATTTTTATGACAAACCAGAGTTAGAGACTTATGAAAGTTTTAGGTATTTCAGTCAGTAACGTTCAATAAACCCCTCAGTACTGACAGGCAGGCATGAAACTAATTAACGCAGATTCACTCAACTCTTGTCAGATTGCAAGTAGTAACACAAATATAGAGGAAGTATTTGGTAGATTTGAGCAGTCTGAATGCACTGGTTAACTGTTAAAACAAAAATCCATTACTCATAACACTGAGGCACTGCTGGTAAAGTGCAATAATTATGGTGATAGTAATCGTTGCCTCAGGAATGTCCAAACATTCATCACAGTAAGCCCTCTGTCACCCTGTCTCATCTAGTCAGTATGTTCCTTTAGTGCTCATCTTGAAAACAGCTAAGCACAGAAAACATGAAGAGGTTTGAATCACATTCTTGAAGAGGAACACATGCTTTTTGTACTTTTCTGAATGGAAGTGTTAGTTGCTGAATACGGTTTCTTCAGACACTGAATCTGAACTGCATCTCCCTCCAGCACCAAGTGACATGATCTGCACCAAAGAAAACTGTCACTTACAGAACTTGATGCTTAATATGATCCTTAATATTTCTACTGGACTTCTCCATCCTCCTCCCTCACTCCATTAAATAAAAAAAAAAAAAAAAAACCCCGTGGATTTCCATCATCTAGAGTTCTCAGGAAATTCAATTTCATTAACAGGGGGTAGTAGCAGCAGTAGTAGTAAGAAAGCTAAATATTATTCACTTGTTATTCTAGGTTACACTTAGTTACCTACAAGCAAAGGTAAAAGCATTTAAAAAAACGTTATAGATGACAGACCTCCATTGTCAAAAACCTTGGCCTAATTCTCTTATTAGTTCCAAGTTCATTGGATTTCTCTCTTGTACTCCATGGATTATTCAAATGCAGAGGACTTTATGAAAAAAAGTCTTCCCATAGTCCAGGCAATAATCATGGTATGACCTCTAACATACGAAATATTTTCCTTAAAGAAGAGAGGCTAATGGTCACTAATTGTCACATTCCTTGCTTAGAAACATTTTTTGGTACCAACCAGTGGAGAAAATGCTTGATTACAGCCAAATTGAAATGGTCTGAGCACAGAGATGACACTATTCACTGACTACATTGCACAGCACACAGGTAGAACTAGTCATAATTTCATTTCAAGGCCTGTGAAGTTATAGGAGAAGAGAGATGGCATGATCAGGGTCTTGAGCAAGGGTGCATAAGCAGAGCTACACTTTTGGAAGGATGTGATAAAAAACAACTATTTGCAGAAATTAGGTTAAGCCTTTCATCCTGTAGTCTGCACCTTAGACCAGCAGACTCCATTGGCACAGAGAATGGTTTAAAGACTGAAATTAAGTATTGATATTGCCACAAAAGAAGACACTACGATTTCATTTGATCTCTCTCATAGCACACGTAATTGTGGTGGGGCAAAGTCCAATAATCTCAGTAATACTTACGCATTAATTCAACAATGAACTAACAAGGAAGAACAGTGACAGGGGATATGTTGAGAGAGCATGCTGGTTAAAGTAACAGACAAGAAGTCAATTTTAAGTTACGAAAGCCAGAGCATGCCACATCTGTAGGCCAAACTATGTCCCAACCCACATTTTCACCATGTTCACAACTGACGTATATCCCTGCAATTTGCCTAAGTTTTATTACTTTTGTCTGGATTTTAATTAGGCTGTGGGATACCTATTTGATGGATATTTAAAAATCAGCTGAAGTCTACTTTCCTTTCATGGAAAAATACAATTTGGCTTCAGCATCTGAATATATATGATAGCGAGTAAAAGAAGCACTTTGAAGATCTGGGAGTTTTGATGATACCTCATGGAACTACAGAAGAGAAGTTTATTCTCAGGTATCTATACCAGTTAAACAAATACAGAAAGTATATTACAGTATGCTGTTACCAATCAAAAATTCTTTCTCACTAGAATGCACTTAATATTTTATTATACATACAACATAAGCCATTTTTTTCTGCTTAAGGAATCTTTATTTCTAGGTGGACATAGATTTCAAGTACCTCACTGTAAATATATAGAGTCATTGCATAAATACAGTGAGGTGATTCTAAGTAAAGTAATAATTATTTCAGATGATTGAATAATTTTCCAAATACCTGTAGCCTATTTCCAGAAATAATATGAATTTCAACCACAGCTTTTAAAATTATCGCCAAATTCTATAGAAGTCAGTGCACTTTTACATGTTCTGGGGGTAGTACAGGAAGAGCAGGGGGTGCTGAAAGTCCCACACATACCATCTTAGATCTCCAGTCCTGGGATATCTGGACTACCTTACCCTGTAACCACACACTGCAAAGCTGACAACAGAAATGCTGGAATATAGACTGGAAATGTTATGAACTCACCTCTTCCTCTTTCCACCCCCATTTCCCCAACAGACTTAGGCTAGAAAAAAGCAACAAATAACCACAGCTATTCTTAAACCTAAGTTCATTAGAATAAAAATTATGTATTTGAATGCTGAATTCTGTAAATATACAATCTTGTCCTTCTGTGAACTATACATATGCTTTAAAATTGAGCCTGTGCCTTCAAAGGTGTGGCCAATGAGCAAACCTGAATCAATATATTAACTTTTTTATACCTTACTGATCCCTAAGAAAGTAACTTTAAAATCCTCCACCTCAACAGCTGTGAGCTGTAATTGTGTCATTGAGATTTTCTGCACATAACTTGTCTCTGGACAGATCAATATTTATTTCCTTACTTTTCATGGAAAGAAGAGCATGTATTGAAAAATCTTACAAAATTGAGTAAGACTATTTCATAGTGAAAACTCAATCTAAAGTGGCACTGTAAGAACGAGACCACTTTCCAAGCTAGTTAGTTCACTAACTTAGAACTTCAGTCACTTGGATGTATGGCCTACCTACAGAATGTAACCGGTGCGGCAACTTGATCACGTGTCAAATAAAAACAACATGCTGAAAATAAACACGTATCACAGATATTGATGTTTCTGACAAAAACATGATTCTAACAGATCAGTTCCATATGCTTGATCTTCTGTACCTAATCATTTTTATTATTTTTTTTCTTACTGTTTAGAAGTTATGAGTCATTCTCTAAGACAAAAACCAAGCAAACAACAATAAGATAAGCCAATTTAATATGTATCCCTGCCAGAACATTTTTACTTAGCTACGGATACTTTCTGGTTTCTCAAATGAGTCTTCAGATTTCATTTCACATAGCTATTGACTTTCCAAGTTACAAAAACAAGACTGCATCTTTAATCCACAGTTGCACAACTGTGTTACCAGGCTCTGCTCCAGTTAACCAGTTATGAATAAAGTTACAGTTTTTGAACAAGCTTATTTGTCTGTTCTTCAGAAACTTTTTAAACTCCTGTCAGAATTCTGGAAAACAAAACTGTATCTGTAAACAGAAAAAAAACCATAAGTCTCATCTTCACAGCCCAGGACACAGGAAGCAAACATATTTCCCTACCTTAAGGATAACCTGTACTACACCTTGTCAAACTTCCCTATATGAAGGTGATCAGAATATCAATGTATTCTGTGAAAATACAAACAAGACATAACCTAAAGAATTTGTCTTTAAGATGAATGTACTTTCAAACAACCTTTTCAACAGCTGGTACAAAACAAGCTAGCACTCCTAGAAACTGGTTTCAACTGCAGCATCACGAAGTAATCTAAGAACAAAAAAGCAAAGTGACCTCCAACTTGAACAACCCTCCTGCTCCTGGATCATCCTTTCTCATTCTACTGCAAGACCTGAAAGACGAGCTTTAGAGGAAAGAGCTTCTAAACACAAACACAAACACAATGCTGAGAAACAAGAAAGTGATTTTTAAGGAGCTGCATCTGCATTTAATGACTGCAGTTTTTCAAGTACTGAAAACTAGTGCTGACAACAGTGCTGGGTTAGGGGGTTTTCTGGTGGTTTGTTTTTGTTTTGTTTATTTATTTTCTACATAGTAATTTCTGGCTAAAACTCTAACGAGGTGTTACAGAGTTACACCGAAGACGGACGGTCGGGGGGAGGGGAAAGAAGAGAGGGGTTAAAACCCACAAAACAAATCAGTAAATGCATCATTCAAATAAAAGGCGCAACAATTACAGAGAAACTTTGAAGCAACTTACCTCGAGGGAGAGAGATCAAAGCGCTGTTTTCAGTCGGAGCTTGCTGTGGCCCTTCAGGCCCCGGAGGAAGAGGTTCTCTCACGTGGGACATCTGCCAGCTCTCTCACCGAGTAACAGACAGCCTGCACCCCCCTCCAACAAAACTAACACGCGACCCTGAAGGAATGAGCAAACGAAAGGACTCGTTAATGTATTTCGTGTTGAAAACTCGCGGCTCGGGGGCGAGGGGCTGAGACCGAGCAGGGACAGCAACGAAGCGGCGGCAACTTTGCGGCGCGGCGGCGGGCGACCCGCCC